TGTTGTGCATTTACCAAGAATACCACAGACATGTCACTTTGTCTTTCTCGCTGCATCATATCAAGGAGTACATGATACTCTGGCAGGTTTTTTGTTTTGTTTTGTTTTGTTTTTGGTGGAGGGGGTGGCGAATCCCCTAGTTTTATGATTCACTTTTGTACTGAGGACCCTAAATTTTCCTTTTTTTCTTCTTGTATTAATTATCTATTGTTATGTAACAAATTTTGCACTGACACAGTAGCTGCAACAATGAGCTCAAGCATAACAATTGTGAGGATGGCACAGGACTGGGCAGTGTTTTATTCTGTTGTACATAGGGTCACGAGTCAGAACCAACTGGACGGCACCTAACAAAAACAACAGCATGTAACAAATTGTCCTAAAACATAGTGGCTTGAAACAACAATAAACATTTATTATCTCACAGAGTGGATCTGGAATCCGAGAGCAGCTTATATGGGTGGTTCTGGCTCAGGATCTCTCATGAGGTTGCAGACAAGATGTCAGCCAAGACCGCAGCCATCTGACAGCTTGACTTCAACTGGAGGGGTTGCTTCCAAGGTGGCTCATTTTCACATGTCTGGCAAGTTAATGCTGGTTGTTGGCAGGAGGCCACAGTTCCTTGCCATGTGGATCCCCGATAGGATTGCTTGAATGTCCTCCTGATGACAGCTAGCTTCCCCCAAAGCAAGTGACTCAAAAGAGAAAGCAAGGAGAAAGGTCATGGGGCCTTTTATGACCTAGTCTCAGAAGTTACATACCATTGTTGTTACTGCTATTGCTGTTATTATTAGCTGCTGTGAAGTTGGCCCCAACTCATGGTGACACCATGCACAACAGGCTTGACCATTGCAATCCATAAGGTTTTCAATGGCTGATTTTCAGAAATAGATCACCAGTTTTTTTTTCCTAGTTTCCTTTGTCCTCAGCTGAAACCCGTTCAGCATCATAGCAACACGAAAGCCTCCAATGACAGATGGGTAGTGGCTGAGCTTGAGGTACATTGGCCAGGAATCAAACCTGGGTCTCCCACATGGAAGGCAAGAATTCTACCACTGAACCACCACTACCCCCTTATACACCATTTGTTGACGCTGTGTGACATTGAACCGATTCTGCCTCATAGCAACCATATGACAGAGTAGAACTGTCCCATAGGATTTTCTAGGCTGTAATCTTTATGGGAGCAGATCACCAGGTCTTTTCTCCCACAGAGTGGCTGGTGGCTTAGAACCACTGAACTTGCGGTTAACCGCCAAGTGCTTCACCATTGCGCCACCAGGGCTCCTTTACATAGCATTACTTCTACTGTGTCCTACTCATTATAAGCAAGTCACTGAGTATTGACCACACTCAAAGGGAGGACAATTACGTTCCACTTTTTGAAGGTAGACGTATCAAAAAATTTGTGAGCATC